ATCATAGAAAGGTGCATCACTTTTCATATTTCCATCCCTATTATCAGGTTTATTAATACAAACTTCCCATATTTCCAAGTTCCATCCCTATTTAAGACATACACTAAGCTTTTTCTGTGAAACCGACTTCAACATAATTAAGGTTTGTGTTCTTGTTACAATGGAGGATCAGGGTAAGGTTATCTTTACCGGTATAGAAGATAGAAAACCTCCTAAGGCTAAGGGTGGTTCTTGTAAATTGATTCTTAGAATTTTGGTCTTTGTTCTCACCCTTGCTGCTGCTATAGTTATTGGGATCGACAAGCAAACCAAAATTGTTCCTATCAAGATTGTTGACTCTTTGCCTCCTTTCAATGTTCATGTTTATGCTAAATGGCATTACCTCTCAGCTTTTATGTAAGTTCTTATTATTCTCTTCCTTAGGTTTTGGTAAGAACCTGTTAACAATCTCTTTCAATAATCCAGAATCAGAAGACTCTTTAGGAAAAAACTCATTATCTTCATCAGCAGAAACTTTTGAACCATTATTCTAGAGGGTACAGATGCAGAGAAGCGGCACCGGCACCTGACAGATGCAGAGAAGCAATAGATAATTTGAGTTAATTAACTATCTCTAACTCAATGACCAACCAAAATAACACAGGGCTACGAATTATAATCAAGTTATTACCCTTTTACCAGGATGAACCGAAAATGCGCACACCGCTGAAAACTCGCACACCGCCGAAAACTCGCGCACTATTACGTTTGAAAATTGAGACCTATTAAAACAAAACCATTAGATTTGTCGGTATAAAATAGAGAAAGTTGAAGGAGAACATTTACACACACAAGTTTGGGATGAATGTTAGGGTTTGAGAGAATCGTACCATGAAGAATCAATATGGGATGAAGAACAAAATGTTAGAGTTTGGGAGAAGCTCAATGAAGAATCAATTTGGGATGAATATTAGGGTTAAGGAGAAGCTCGTATGTTTGAGAGAATCGTTCAATGAAGCTCGTATTTGGGAGGGACAATGAATCGTTTGAGAGAAGCTCGTGGAGGGAACTGAAAATTTTACGGAGGTTAGGGAGGGAGAATGAAATGTGAGAACGATAGAGGGAACTGAAAATTTTTTACTCGTGGAGGGAGACTGAAAATTTTGTTAGTAATAATATTTTATTAAAATAATTAAAAATTATATAAGAACGACTCTAGCCGTTGCTAATAGGAGCCGTTCTCATTGCCCTCTACCAGAACGGTTTCGGGCCGTTGTATAAAATTTACAAAAAATTAAATATGCTACAGCAACAAATTATATAGTTAGTTGTCTATTACTCTCTACGAGAACAATTTTTTTACTTCCTGAAAATTAGGCATTGCTACAGAGTAAAAATGTTGTAGTGTCATTTCCTTAACTTACTCCACAATTGCACTGTCATGTCGAAGTTCATCATAATTTCACAGGAATTCTCTTTGCTTATTTATTCCACTAATTCCACCTAGACGTCGAAATTACGAGCTAACAGTATTTCATCCAATTTGAGTGTTAGAAATAAAGATAATTGTATTAAATTATGTTACAATTTTTTTATAGCTAAAAAAATTATCGAAAACAATATTTTTTATTTAAAACACAACATGCGAACTTAAATCCAACCCATAAATAAAATGGCCGGTTTGAATTGATTTTGACCTTTAAATTACTAGTTGGACGTTAAACTTAACCTATTAACCTATTGAAGTTTGATCAGATTTGATAACGGGTTAACTCAAACCTAATCCAACACTAATCTGTATACATTATTATCTGATTTGATAGGTCTAAGATGTTTTTATAAACCTTAAATCAATCTATTTAAATTAATAAACTTAAAAAAATTTTAAACCTAACATTTTTTCAAAAACATAGACCGAATCAAATTTTAAATAAGTCTGACTATATAAGCTTTGACGGACTTACCCCTAACTATATGGGCTTTGGAAAACACATTCTTCTAATAGAGTTTCTTAATACACCCCTTGATACTCTTAGGCACCTAGCGAAATTCCTTTTATGCCCTTTACTTTCGGAGATACACATCCGGACAGATCCTTTTTTTCTTTACGCTGGATGCTTCCGGAGATGTATCTACGAAAAAAGTTTCGGAGATGCAACTCCAAAATCTTATCAGAACAAGTTTTTTTAATTAAAAAAATCAAGTTTTATTAGCCGCAGATGAAAATTAACTGTTGCAGATGAATATAAAATATCATACATCCGTAAATAAAATAATATGATATATATATATATATATATATATATATATATATATATATATATATATATATATATATATATATATATATATATATATATATATATATATATATATAAAAGAAGTAATATGATACATCAATGTCATAAAAAATATAGTACATCCAAAAAACATCATAGTCACTACTTTGTGTGGCTGACCGCCTCGTCTGCCTCTCTCGCCTCCTCGGCCGCCCGATCTGCGTCCTTGGCCATCGATCCCACTCATCTTGGCGCGATGCATGTGGTACATAAGTGCCCCTTCTGCCACCGCAATGATGTCATCCAATACACGCATATGGTCAGACCTCTCAGGGAAGAAACTAGCGGCAATACCTGCCCGCCTCATCTCCCTTATCTCACGATAGCGAGCCAAGACATCCTGAGTGTGATCCAACTATGACTGCTCATCCTCTAAGATCTACTGATGAGTTGGCCTAGGAGGTGATCCCTTAGCAGTAGGCACTATGTAGGGGTGTGATACGGTGAAGAACCACATGATGTAGACATCAACGCAGCTCCAGCCTGTCGACGCTCTGGTCGCCTGAGCCTTATCAGGTACCATGTGCCTCTGGTAGTCGGCATAGATCTTGTCTATCTGCATACGGGCATACAAAATCTGTTTTGTGTAATCAGGTACACTCCCTTACCTGACGATCATGGGAAAGTACAAGGAATATCCAGGCCTGAAATGAAAATAAAAAACATCAGGATCAAGCATTATCTCGAATATAGAATGAAAAGAAATGAAAAAAACTCGAAGGATATAAGATTGTTACCACAAGTAGTGCCACGCTCCCTGCCACAGTCCCGATCTTCCACAAACATCTCTCTCCCAGCCTCAAATACATGTAAGCCAGGGTAACCGCCCCTCAATTGTACTCATGGACTCATGTGGAATCCAAAAAGCACCTCGGGTAAGCGACATCCGCATATGTGGAGGAAGTGTCCACAAACAGCTGAGTGTCGACTAAAAATAGAAAATAACATCTCAATACATGTTGTCTGTGTATCTCAACCTCAGCTAGATCACCGTCTGCCTGATGTGCATCAACGAACGCCTCACCAAATCTAAGGGTGAGAAAAGAGAACCTGACATGAGCCCCTTTGGTCTTATTCACCTCCTTCAGCGCATCCAATGGATCAGCCATAAGCTCATCGACCAACATCTCTCTTGCATCCTCCTTCGTCATCCTACCGTGACGGAGGAGGGTACCCTTGATCGGTATATGTAGCAGACATGAGATGTCGTCTAGTGTGATCGTGAGTTCGTCGTGCGATAGATGGAAGGAGGACGTCTCAAGGTGTCATCTCTCTGCAAAGCCCATCAGCATCCCGTTGTGGATCACGCTGTAACTGATCTCACAAAGGTCTTTCAAACCAGAAGAAATGGATGATGGGGTGGGATACGGGGTTGAGGGAATGCCATGTGCATGTGATGAAGAAATATGTGCCTCAACTGTATCGACCTCAGTAACGGTGGCCTGGTTCCGCTCGCATCTCATAGATGCATGCTGTGAAACCCGTCCAAGCCGCAATTTATCTTCTTTGTCTTTTATAACGTTTGCAAGGTATAACCAATAAAAAAAATTAGATACAAATAAATTAAAAAACAAAAAAGAAAAAGAAAATTAATATTTTTTTAACTTCCGGATGTATACATGCGAAAAAACCTAGAATTTAGAAAGTTAGACTTGTTTCGGAGCTGCATCTCTGGAATTGCTCTAACGTTAATTTGTTCCGTAGATGTAGCTCCAAAACTTCCTGCAACTCCTACGTCAACGCCAATGGCGTCCCCCACCCATAAAAATTGGATTTTTCAACCTCTGATTGTCTATTTTAGCTAACAAACAATACCTACATTGTCTCTAAAATATATTTCTAAAACTATCTAACAATTTCTACCCCTAAAACTATATTGTAACTCGTTTACGGGAAATACTCAAAAATATCTCAGAAACTCAAAAATTTACCGATTATATCGAGCTTTCAATGAGTTAGAGTGTCTTGATCGTTGAGATGAATGCTCCTTGTCGAACTTGATTGAAAATAATTAAGTTTGGTGGAAAAAGTTTTTTTTTTTTGAGGTTTGAGAGCAGAGTTTGAGTTTGAGAAGTTGAAAAATGAAGAATGAGAGAGGAGTAATAACTCTGACGCAAATGTATTCTGATTTGTTCCGAAACTATATAAATGAAAACATTTCGGAGATGTAACTCTGAAAAAAACCGTTAAATAAAAAAAAGAACGTCCAGAAATACATCTCCAAAAATAAGAAAAAAATATTTTTAGAAGCACACATAATGGCTAAAAATCTAAAGAATAAGATAAGAAATTCTCTTCTTTCAAATCATGAATATGGATCCCCTTATTTAAAATTCAATTATTTTAGAATCATTTAAAAGAAAAATATTTTTGACAAGTCATTGATTCAAAGAGAATTGTATTTGGGTTTGGGAAAAAAATCTAAAATCTAAAGAATAGTCGAAGTGTGAGAGGTGACGGACACACGTGTGAGAAGGTATGTGAAGAAAACCTCGATCGTAGTCTTGAAACCCTATCTCGCTTCTCATTCGTAACTTGTACCAATCACTTTGCCCCAATTCCCAGCCCTAACCCTAAAATCGAACTTTCTCATGAAATTCGTCTTGCATAACTCCACCATTGTCTCAGAATCAGGTTCGATTCCATAACCCTCGAAGAACCTTCTTACCTTTCGAGTTTTCTATGGAGGGCTCTACAGAGGATCTAGGAGCCCCGGAGTCATGGGAAGTTGCCGATTTGGACGACTCCATGAACCGCTTGAACCTTTTGATATCCTCTAACAAAGATTCCAAGCCTCACGACCACACCGACGGTGCTTCGCCGCATCTTCCTTCGTCTTCTTCTTCCACCACTGGGGACAAGGTCTTCGATGATGCCGTCAATCAGGTTGATCAGTTCCTTCGTGAAGCAATTCAAAACCCTCGTGAACGTCTTTCAGGTAGCTTTGCATGTATCTATTGCTTTAATCAATACATATATGAACTAATGTTTTGAGAAAAATTGCTACTTTGATTGTGAATTATAGTTGCTATGTGTATTTAGATACATGTTTTGAGTATGTTTACTCTATCAGTGCTCTGAATTGTAATTAAGGAGTTGTTTTAGGCGCTGATTACTTATACATTTATAGCTGTTGTGTTTATTATATTGCTAGTATAAGTATTCAGTGCTAGCATTCTCTATTCATCTTCATATGTAGCTCTTTCATGTGAAGATGAATATCCAACTGTGATGCTTCATGACGTGATTTTGAATTTGGGCTGGAGAATGTGATTCATAAGAACTGATTTGTGGCATAGATTTTTTGTTTGTTGCTTTCTGTTTTTGATACATAGATCTGAAATAGTGGGATATTAATATTTGTTATATATGACGGAATGAACTTGCCTCCCACATACAAATAGATGATGCAGAATTTATAGATCATTTTAAAATTTACACCTGAATGTTCTATGGTTATTTTGCAATACATGCTACTGCTCTAATGACATTCTTATGCAATTGTGGTTGTGTTGTTTGAGTATTACTTGTTTTTGATTAATTACGCCTTATGTTCTTTAAAGGGGTTTTCCTGCTAGACTAATTAAGGTTTCTGATCTGATTTGATTTGTCCAGTTTTACGGATGGAGCAAGATGTACTAAATTTTATTCAAGATCCTAATCAACAGCAGATTGAGTTTAATCAGCTTCCAACATCCTATTTGAGGTTGGCTGCACACCGGGTGGCTCAGCATTATTCATTGCAGTCAATGGTTTTACTGGATAATAATAGTTTACCGGATGGTTCTGGGTCAAGAATTATTGTTCGCAAAACTGCTGAATGTAAGCGTCCTATTATTCGCCTTGCGGACATCCCAGTGAAATTGCCATCAGAAAACAATGCTGTAATGAAGGTTGCAATCAAATCGAGGCCACAGAAACAAACGCATGTTCTTAACAATGCAAATTCGAACTCAGGGAAAAAAAACAACTCTAAAAGTGTGGAAGAGAGAAAAGAGGAGTATAATAGGGCTCGTGCTAGGATCTTTAGCTCAAGTAATAATGGTGGTACAGTGGTTGGGAAGCCAGAATGTGAGACGAGGCAGCTGGATAACTCATTGCACGGTTCCTCTGGGTTTACTCGCGGGGAAGATAGAAATGCTTCTGTATCTGATATTAGTTCCAGTAGGGGGGTGGTTGGTTCTTCAACTAATACTGGTAGGGGGCTGGTTGAGTCTTCAACATATACCAGTAGGGGGCTTGTTGAATCTTCAACTAATACCAGTAGGGGGCTTGTTGAATCTTCAACTAATACCAGTAGGGGTCTGGTTGATTCTTCAACTAATACCAGTAAGGCTAGAAGTAGGACAGAAAAGGAGCCAGTCGGTAGGTACAGGCAAAGTAACAGGGTGGCCATATTCCGGGACCGTGAAATTGACCGCAAGGATCCTGATTACGACAGAAGCTATGATAGGTACGTGCACCTCATTATTTAGCGATGCACTTGTATGCTAATATGTGTTGACCTTGTTGTCTTGTTCCCCTCTCAAATAAATAGTTTGAGTTTGCAGTAATGAATGATTGATGCCGTTAGTACTATTAGTGTGACTTGCATTTTTATATGTAAATTCCTATTTGGATCACACATTAGTTAATATTTTCATTATAGAATGCAGATATAATATTTTGTGTCAGTTTTTTTTCCACTTGTTAAACATTTTTGTTTGCTTCCAAATAAAAACATCAAGAAATTCCAAAATCACCACTTCTCATTCCCGGGTTTAACTTATGACATGGTTGAATTAATCTCCCATGGACATTTACAAGACATTAGCTAAGTTTAGTAGCTAATGCTTCTTTCATATTGAAGAATTAATTTTGTATGTACTTTCTAGTTCAAATGACTAATTGATAATTTGCTTCCGTTACAAAATATTTCCGTCTTGTTTGTTTGCAACATTGTTAGTGGTGCTACAGCACTACACAGAATTTCTAGCTGACCACTTTTGTTAAGTAATGCAATCATTTAGTATAAAATGTTGTCAAATAAAGGCATTATAGCTGTAGCATAGTTGAATTTGAACACACCACTATTTTCTGCAGTTTGTGATTATCAACACAACACTGGTTTGCAGATGTTTTTCAAACCTATGATTTAGATGACGTATGTTTCATTTATTTTAATATTTAAATACTACAGCAACAACATATAATATTTGTTTGTTTGCAACAGTGTTGTTAGTGGTGCTACAGCACTACACAGAATTTCTAGTTGACCACTTTTGTTGAGTAATGCACTCATTTAGTATAAAATGTTGTCAAATAAAGGCACTATAAATGCTGTAGCATAGTTGAATTTGAACACACCACTATTTTCTGCAGTGTGTGATTATCAACACAACACTGGTTTGCAGATGTTTTTCAAACCTATGATTTAGATGACATATGTTTAATTTATTTTAATATTTAAATACTACAGCAACAGCATATAATATTTCTTCATAGTTATATAAATTTTTTGCTATTTAGTATAACGTGAAGAAGAGAGAGAAAAACAGAAACAAAGGTGTAAGAAAATTTGGAAGAGAGGAACACAAGGATGGAAGTCCCTTTGTAACTAAATGTCCGTGCAAAAGTTATGAATTCTTTTTCATACCAATGAGTGCTTATTGTTATCCAATGAAAATGTAAATTTGTAGTCATTTTATGATAGTAAAATATGTCTGTGGGGTGTGGCTATTATATTATGTATATTATATTATGGACAATTATAACTTGACTTCTCTAAAGATTGTCTGAAGTCTGTTGTGTTACTTATCAACTTCTGTTATTTTGTATTCAGAAGTCATATTATAAAGAGCTGCTTCTGGCTATCAGCAGTGATTACTGATTTAATGCTAATATTCTTGTGATTTTTTTTAGCCTTCTAACCCAATTTTTTTAGACGAGTATAAAATGGAATATACTCTGAAAAGAAAGGGATCCATATTCCAAATACATATGCTAGAAAAGACAGAAGATCTGTTGGAGTTTGCCAATACATTGGCAGTATATTCATAAATTGTTAAGGAGATTAGTAAAAAAAGAAACTCAGAATTTTGGAGAGTCTCTGGGGTGTCTAACTTATTAAAATGAACCAAATGTGTTGTATTTTTCTATTTGGTTTGTTATGTCTGTAAAACTAAAAAATATAAAAGATGAGATATGGTTGGAGTATTGATTGATCTGATCCATTATTCTTCTAACTTGCTTGGCAGGTATATGCAAAGATTTGATCCTGGGTTTGGATTCAATGGAGGATCATACCCAATGCAGCCGATGTATGCACCAGTATTGAATTACAACACTGAGTTTCCACAACTTGGATCCCCTCATGTCCCCCAACGATCTGCTGAACACCAACCACGGCCTCTTCCGCAGCATATATCTGGGCAGCATATGTCAGGGCAGCATATATCAGGAACTTGGGTTGCACAATCAACACCTGCTGGAATTGGATATGGACATCCAGAGACCATGATGTCACCATTTAATCATAATCAAGTTGGTGCACACTCTTCATCAACCATGTACTTGCATTCACCTCAGTATCCCTGTCAGCATCCTGGAATGCCTTTTATCCATCCCGAACATATTCACCAGCCCTTTGCACAGGTATAGGAAGCTACTAAATCCCCAATTTGTTATATAAAACAAAACTCTTATTTGTGATTGATCAAGTCTAGACTATGTTTTATCAAGGTGCATAATTTTCATGTTACTCAGAGCATCTTTTATACTACAGGAATTGAAATGAAGCAATTATAAAAAGTTACATAAAGCTTTATGTAAATAAACCTTCACAGATGACGAAGACAAAAAATTTGATAATGGTTGTGTTGTATAGTGTAGGCCAGCCTTGGCTGGATGTAAAATCCATGTCCTAGGGGTATCAAAAAACATTCTTTTATAATAAAATAAAATGAAAGGTCCACTCCTAAAGGGGTACTAACTAACAGCTGAGTCCTCTCCGAACCGCAGGAGATATCTGATAAATTTTTTTTAGAGCATTTGGGTTTCCTTTATTGCAACCTACAACACTTTCATTGTATTGTGTATGAAGGGGTGGATTTAGTTCCACATTGCTGGTCTGTATAGTGTTTATAAAGCTTGGTCAGCCCTCACCAAGGTAGTCAAGGTCAAGATCCCACACGGGAGCGGGAGGGGTCACAGGATTGTAAAACGGATTGTAAGATCCTACAAATTTCACAAACTCATACAACGAATGTAGTGAATATTAAAAAAATGTGGAAAAACTTTGGGGGTTATTATATACAGCAATTTAAACGAAATTTTATCATACCATTGATCAATTATTTTGCTTCACTTTTTATTAGAATATACATGCAAAGTTGTTTTCTGTTCTATGATATTCTGGCTGGTGTGATTAGTCATTGAGGCTGGTATGATAAAGTAGTGCATTGTGCATCTTTTTTGCACTTTACAATGTCAGTTTTTCCTCATTTCATACTGCATAGTTCAATTTGGCGATTTGCCAAACTTTTACTTCCTTTCCGGCAGCTGCTGCTTGTGAATATTATTATCCTTTATTTATCTTTTCATTTAGATCTAATTATTCTCTTTTATGTACTTGATCTGCAGTCTCATCAACCACCACCTGAAGCAAATTTTGGATTGGCCCGGCCCCGATGAGGGGCATAGGCCATGCCTGCACCCAATCAGCCCGAGCCATATAATGTAAGATGACGGTCTGCTGCAGCTACAGATCTCTTTCAGCTGATTGGAGTGCAGGCATGCAGGCCGAGTTTGGCTGGAATGGATTTGTGTTTCTTAAAAAACCAACTCAAACAATGATCCTTTCCTCTAATCTCGGTTTACGAAGGATGCTTCTTGCATCTTCTATGAGTTACGTGACTATGTTTCTCTTTTGGACATTTGGTATTTTGTGAGGAGCTTTTGGAACGCGCGCACACTCTCATACTGCTGCTCATGGAGAAGAATGAACTGAGGACTTCTGTAGAGCCATACAAGTTTGTGCTTGACTTGGATGAAGGTATGTTTTGCTTAACCTATTATGTGGCATTTAGTTCTTCTTGAAACGTGACTGAGTCATTCTTTCTTCTTCATGTTGAAGTTCACCTAATTCATTTCTTGAGATTGGGTAAACGAATATAGTCGAATCATCAGAGGGACACTTCAATGTTTCATTGGTAAATAAATTTCCTTGCACCATTGATGCAAAACCAATGATATGCTAACTTATTCAACTTACCTTTAAACAATGGTTATCAATTGGTTTTTGTGTTTTTGTCAGCTTGAGCTCCCCAAGAGAGCTAAAGGGATTCAAGTCTTGCTTGGCGTCATTTGCCTTCAGATTGCAGGAACTCTTGTGTTGAAGATCTAACTGGAGTTTTATAGCTCTAGTTACTATATTCCCTATATGCTTCATAGTCCAGCAAATAATCCGTAACCTCATGTATGGCTAACTTCTGTGGATGAGTTTGTATATTTTACTCTCTTCATACATTCTTCGTTCGATATTTGCTACAAGTTTTAACTACTTTTTATACAGTCGTCTTTTCATATAGATTGTTTGCATTGTTTTACCATTCTATCCTTTTTTTGTTGGTAATTACTAAGATTTGAAAACAGTAGTAGTGATGTGAAATAAAAAGCATGTATGAAACAAGAAACAAAAAGTTACTCCCTCCCTTACGTGTCATTTTTTTTAACATACCAAGTAAAGAAAGCTAATAAATATTATTATTTTCAAAAAAATAATTTTCCTTTTGCACTTTTAATTATTTATTGGGTTGTTTGAAATTGAATAATATATTTATATTTAAAGTATGTTAAAACTAAATTATTTATTGATTTGTTTGAAATTAGACAAAATTCTTCTACCTGGAATTCCTTATAAATATTGCACAATTTGGAGCGTAACTTGTAAAGGAATTTCTTTTTGTTGGTGCATGAATTGATTGACTAAACTTACAACAAAAGCAACATCTAGTCTAGTATATGATTGGTATATAAGTTTTTTGACTAATCTTTAAGAATATTTTCTTTTGCATTCCTCAACTTTACACTTGAATCAATTGGTGTATTTGCAGGCTTGCATGTTGTTTTACCCGTCTCTTATAGAAGACCAGTAATGTATTATTGTTGAGATATGAAGATTTCTTTCTTAGAATAGGCAACTTCAATTTTCAAAAGGTCTTAATCTCAAACTTCTTTGACTAAGCGTCGTCTAACAATTGTTGCTCATTCTCATCATCACATATTACTATGATGTCATCCACATACACATAAAATTGTTACTCTCTTTATCTTAGAAAGTTTGGTGAATCTTTTAATCTATGCTTGTGGTGATTGCTTTAGCCTATATAAAACATTTTTTAATGTGCACACAATGTTAATTGTTACTCTCTTTATCTTAGAAAGTTTGGTGAATCTTTTAATCTATGCTTGTGGTGATTGCTTTAGCCTATATAAAACATTTTTTAATGTGCACACAATGTTAGTGGTAGTATGTTCACAATATGCAGGGGTACATCCATATAGATCTCTTCATCAAGTTCTTCATAAAGGAAGATATTTTTCACATCAAATTGATGTAAATTTCAATTGTAATTAGTTGCTAAAAATAATATCACCTTTACATAATATCACCTTTACAATATTCATTTTAGCAACGAGAGCAAATTTCTGAGTAATGTTCTTCACAAATTTGGGTGAACCCTTTTGGTAACCAATTTTGCCTTGTACTTCTCAATAGATCCACCAGCCTTGTATTTTACATTGTATACCCATCTGCGCCCTACAAGTTTCTTTCTATTTGGCAAGTTTCTTTCCATTTGGCAGAGAAATCAATTTCCAAATATTATTCATATTCAATGCCTCTATCTCCAAGTCCATGACCTATTTCCATTTTCTGTCAGACAATGTCTCAAATAAAGAGTTAGGTATTGTTATAATGTTTATACTTTTGAGGAATGCTGTATGGGTGGGTGAAAATGTTTAAAATTTAGGTAGTTGAATATTGAATAAAGTGGTTTTTTTAGTATCTTTTCTAAGGGCAATTGGAAGATATAAATCATTGTATTGTGGTAGTAGTATTGAGTTGAATTATGTTTCTTGTTCATGAAAATATTCAAAAGTTGAATCACTAGTGCGTGAAGGGTCGGGAGAAGTTACCTCATGTAATGTCGGATGAGATTCTTGGATACAAGTAGAATCAGAAATGTTCTTCTTTCTTGTATGCACCAAATTCTTTCTAAATCTTACATCAGTTTTAACATTTCCATTTTTTAGAATCAAATTAGTCTCAACATTTTCACCACTAGTTTAAGTCTCAACTTCCGATTCGAAAGTAAGGTCAAGAAGTAGAGAAAACTCATCTTTCTTACTTATTCTCTCTAAAGATGAGTTTGAAGAAAATATCTTTCTTGTTCATGGAAGGTGGCATCTGGAGAGACAAAATATTAATAAGATGATGGATGATAACATTTGTAACCCTTTTGGGTAGAAGAGTATCTTATAAAGACACATTTTAATGCTCTAGGATCAAGTTTCCCTCTACATCACTATGGATATGGACAAACGATGTACATCCAAATATTTTAGAGGTCAGTTTACTTGAAGTAGACACATCATGATAGAATGATGCTAAGACTTCCATAGGAGTTTTAGAGGCAAAGACAATAAAGGATAAACGATTAATGAGATACGATGCAATTAAGACAATCTCGCCCCAATTTTTCTTAGGGACTTTATTTTAAAATATCATAGCACATGCTTGGTCTAACAACTACCCATTCTTTCTGGCAACATTCCCATTATATTGAGGGGTTTTAACAAAAGAAAATTCATGAATACCTTCTCTTTGACAAAAAGAATTAAGACCACGGTTAAAGTAATTTTTGACATTATCGAACCTAATTCTCATAATACTCATACTAAACTGATTTTTAACCATAAAGAAGAAGTGAAGAAACAAATAAGAAACTTTAGATTTATGTTTTAACAAATAGACCCCAGCAAACTGAGTACAATCATCAATAAATGTTACGAACCAACGAGCAACTAATATATTTGGAATATTCGATGGACACCAAACATCAATGTAAATTAAGTAAAACGAAAAAGTATTCATTTTATTACTGACTAGAAAAGAGACACGCTTGTGTTTAACAAGTTGACACACATTACAACAAAGACTCTCCACATCTAAACTTTTAAATAGGGAAGGAAATGATTGTTTTATGACTCTAAATGATGGATGACCGATGCAAGTTTGATACAAAGGTACCTTTTCTCTATTGATTTTAATTGATTATGAATAAAAGAATTTGTTGTTGCTGAATAGATTTAGAGAAATATTTTGGTTATCCAACTAATAAAGGCCATTCTATTCTTTAGCATTTCCAATCACCCCCTCTGAATTCTTGTCTTGGAAAAGAAAAACATTGGTATAAAAAATATTACATGATAGGTCAGTTGTGAGTTTTTGTATCGAAATTAGGCTAGTGGACAATACGGGAATTTGAAGAACATTTTGAAGGATTATAAAGGAGCTTATCATTTGGATTTCTCCTTGCACATATACAATAATAAGGGTATCATATGCAGTGGATATTTTTTGTTGCTAAGACATGGTGAATATGTAGAAAAGCGTGTCAGTAAAGGTGTCATGTGGTCAGTGATTTCAGAATCCAATATCTAATATTGGTTAAAGGGTTTATCTGATGCATTAATTCTAAAAGAAAATTGAGATTTATCAAGAGGAAGTGAAAACGAAAACGTATATGAATATACCAACATATAAGTACTTGTTGGTTTCTCTAACTTACTAAGGAGGGATCTCATCCCCTCTACTTTTTCTTTGTTGAGTTGGAATGATTCTCCTTCTAGCATATTGATGGATGTCATGCGAATGTTTCTGACTCAATAGAATAAAAAAGAACCAGCAAACTAATCGTAAAGAGATCTACAACCTTCAATTGAGTTTTTTTTTATGTGAACAGTATTGCGGATGAACAATGTTTCTAGTGATGAATAATGTATTCGGTGATTAACAATGCCAAGGATGAACAATGCATCTAAACCTAACCCCCGCAATTAAGGCGGGTTTAGGATTTCAAAAAAAGAACCGCAATTAAGGCGATTAGAGTTTTGAAAACGCAACCGTAATTAAGGCGACTAATTGTTTTTATACGGAAGCAAAACCCTCTCAAACGAGAGCTCATGATACCATATTTAAAATTGAATAATATATTTCAAAATATCATAAAATTACAAGCACCAATATTTTTATATAAAAATATTCTAACCTAATGTGTCAATGTAATAGACTAAAGATTTGAATATTAACGGTAGTAAAAATATCTTATTTACAACAAGATTCATTAAGAAAGTCACACTAAAAAATAGAATGAGTGAATACATGCTTTGGAAATGAACGAACAAAAACTCATTTGATTGTATTTTATTTTTCTTTTCACGATTTTCTTCAATGAGATAAAAAATAATTTGTTTGAAAATTAATGAAGCTAAAAGGAATTCAATCATTTTACTTGTTTTAACTAATAGTCCAATCTTTCAAATTTAACTAATCATTCGGAAAAAAAACTTAACATTATTTACATTGAATATTTATATTGTAGACCATGATTCACTTGTAATATAAAAAA